GCCAAAACAACCGACTGGGGCACTCATGGAGTATTGGTTGTTAGTGAAACGATTGAATAATTTAATCTCTTTACTGTGAATGTTTTAATCTGCTCAATATTGAATATTTACATGGAATTTTACAACTAAAGGGAGATTTTAGTAGCTGAGCAGAAAAATAAGAGGAGCATAACGCGTCTGAAGGTCATAAACGATATTAATTTAGGAACATAAACATGATGTAAACTGTATTTGGCTGGTATTGGTAGTTTAAAAAAATACACACCAGTATTCTACTTTCTTCCTAAACATTTTAAGCCTCAAAGTCTTTAATTCTGTTTCATACTGTGGTTATTTAGACAGTTTTTATGTGCTCCTTTTGACTATATTAAGTTTATATACTTCATAAAAAGTTAAAGTGTTTTAACCTTTTCTATCAATATGTGTGCTCGTTATTGCAGTTAAAAAACATATTCTTTAGAATTTGATTAATAGGGAATATAATACAGAATTGCATATCTAAAGAAATTAATAATTATATAATTATATTCATATAGCTCAAATTATCACAGTAGAACAATTTCCCTGTAAACATCTGCAGCAGTTTAACTCATTAACCTGTGATTACGTGAAAACAATTTGCCTGCCCTGTGCAGCTACAGCTTAAGCTGTTAAGCAACACGTTGGTGTAATGGGCTAGGCATGTGTTATGCTGGAGGTCAGGGGTTCGAACCCAGCTGTCAATATGAGTTGTCTTTTAACAAATAAACATTTATTTGAAAAACTAAAATACCAAATATTATGGACACTATATACACATTTTTGATATTTCTAAATATCACAACATGTTCGAAGCTAAGTGATTTATTAATAACAACAAATAATTTCTAACTCCTACTGTACTGCCAATAAAGTATATTTTGTGGGAAATACATTTATTTGTCCTGCATCAAAATTTAACTCATTCAGAGTGCCCTACATTACAAACTCCAAGCGTTTCATTTTGTCTATTGCTACAATATCAACAGCAATGTAGTTAAAAAGAAAATGTCAAAATGTTTCCAAAATAACCACAAGTGAACGAGTTGAGGGATTTGAAAATAATAGAGAAATCATAACAATGACCCCATGTTGCTAATCATGCATACCCAACTGAAAGAAGGAAACTTAAATCGACACGTGATGGTTTTGTGTTTAAGTATTTCTTAATGGAAATCTTTAAGTTAAACAAAGAAGGGGGAATAGTTATTTTTTTTTACAAATAATCGCAGTAATGGGAGAAAAGCCTATCAACACATGGGCAAACATTTTTTTTATTTAAATAAATTAAATAAAAACTAAGATACAATGAAGTGTTCCTGCCTAACTCAAACATTGTGTGGCTGTAAAAATGGTTTAGA